TCCGAACGCCCCTCGCCGCCTCAATGCCACTACATTTGGTGGTCTCAACTTTCAGCCGATGCCTTCACCGCTGACTGAAGCACGACGCCGCTCCAGGTGGGAGATGGGCAAGGGCGCCTCGCATGAGGTCATGCGCCGTTGAGGGGGGGGTAATGTCACGAGTTGGTACGGCATCTAGCCATTTTTAATTTTTTCCTTTTCGCGGGCTCGAACCCGCGACCTCTGTACTACATGCCTGATATGGATGCATCACTATCTACTGTATGATTAGATTAGATGGGGCGGCAGTGTGCGGCACAGCTCGGGCTCCGCTGACACAGCCGCTGTGACTCACCGGCCCCCGGGGCCGTGTCAGCATGCTGTGCACGGACCAGCTGTGCACGGACCAATGCGCACAGCCTCCCCTAAACTTCCCCTGTATATAAGCCTGCCTCTGCTGCCCTAGGGACCTCAGTTTCGACCTCTTGTCCCTAGCCTTAGGTTTGAGCCTCGCTCACCATCGCTTCGGTAAGACAAGTTGAACGCCCCCAGCTTTAGGTTTTCCCCTGTCGCTTGACCCTAAGTCGCGACACAAACAATGTCCAAACAATGTCCGGGCTGCGCCACAGGTGCATCACTGCCAGACGTCTCGTACGAACGAGCATCTGTGTGGAGGGCTTCTTGAACATTCGCCCGAGTCGCCTGCGCCAGAGCTTGCGCTCTAACATCTCCCCCTGCCTACGTTCAACAAATGGCATAGCAAATATTTCATGCTGCTTCTTTGATATTTCAAAAACATCTAGAACCACAAGGGGCTCTTGTTCTCCTGCTTGCACGAGAATCTCATTGACCCGACCAATGACTATCGCTTCCTGTAAATATTATTCAGATAGCAGAATGTTCTCGCAGCATGAACAACTTGCCTCAAGTGGTGAGTCTGCAAAGACCCATGAATTCTTGATGCAGCAGTCTTGATGACGGGATACAAATGATCGACAGAGCATATATGCCTGGTGAGTAGCATACTGTGTGTAATTTAATGCATTCACTGCACTTGTGTTAGCAAGAATATTTGATTGGCGAACATGACTGCCTCGAGCAAATGGCATCAATTTGAAAGTTCCTACAAAGAATCGTAAGAGGGATATTGATAGAATCATTAGTCCAAACATACCCGGCTGTGGCTTATCTTCAGTCCATCCAATAAGTCGTTGCAACAGTGGCTGAAATGTCAAAAAGCTTTGCACACCAGATCCTGCTTGAACTCAGCCGAGATTATTGTCGTGCCACCAACCACTAGTGACATGCTGTTTGAAACCTTCCTGATCCGCAAGTTGGTAGGCAATATCACGGCTCGGGGATATGTGATTTGACAAAATTGAGCATTGCCTAAAGATGCCATTAAAACACTCGAAGACTTCCATGCAGACACCAACGAGTGGGCCAAAGCATTTGACGTCCTCATCCATGTGGTTGAGTAAGTGAAGTTTGATTTTTTTGGTTATTTTTGATGGATCTTGCTCTGAGAATACATCAAGCACATTACCGACTGCTATCTTCAAGTCGCCCTGCATCATTGTTAATATCATACAATGTGACATTGGATAGCAGATAAATCCACATACAATGTATTCAGTGAGATTGAATATCTCGGGAAACCATACCAGCGCTGCTAGGTCACAGACAGACTTCCAAATGCGAAACTCAAAGGGGCCAACAAGATCATATACATGGAAGACAGCAGTTTGTATAACTGTCTTGAATTGGCGGCCTATCAAAGAGTTTGTGTACTGCATAATGTAGTTGGCACGAATTGCATGGATATTAAGTCCATCAGTGTTTGTGGCTTGAAGTCGGAGGGCATACTGCTGTTTTTGTGTGGAATTCCAGCTTGTATGTGTAGGATGCCATGCATACTTTACAATACCAAGCAAGATGGTGTGTAGAATTTCAATAGGGGTGTCAGTTGTCGGATCAAAACCTTTTGATGGAGACAAATGGTGTTTTAATAGCAAACTCATATCCAAAAACACATAATTTACCCTTGAGAGTAAGAAATGGACTGAAGATCTCGTTGGTGTGTTCCTGGACCCATTGCATAAGTTCATGTTGTATATCTTGTATGGAACACTGTGGTTCTGCTGATTGTTTGGCATGGGCTTCATGGATCAACTTGTCAATCCAGAACTGTGTATATGAGTCCTTGATACCTGTTTGTGTCTGGTGATCCTTGACACGGCTCTGAATGCCAGTGCATGCTTCCTCAAGCTGCAGACAGACTTCTACAATTATTTCTTCTTTGCTGCGAGGCTGTGAACACTAGCAAAGGTTATCGGTCAATATGTAATATATAATTGCAAATGAAAACAAACCATAAACAGTTGATGATAGCCATCATCACTGGCCTTCTCAATTTGTGTCCCCCCTGCATGACATCGACGACAGAACATGTTGCCTTGTCCGCCAATATGAGAACAAATCTCACTCTGCATAGGGTTATCCGATGGCTTGCTGTTACCAAACAAACGAATTCGTGCTACCTGCTTAGTAGAAGCATCCATAACCTTGATGGGATTGTTGTGAGTAGACCTAACAAATATATAATCAAAACAAGTTGACAATTATGCTGGGATACCTCAGTAATAAGTATGCACTCCAAGACTTTCTTGAAATCCCTGTATTGCTCAGGTATTGATGCATGAGTTGAAGTTGAAAGGAAATGGACATGATATTCTTGTTGTAAAAGGCGACGGGGAAGATTTTGGTGTGTAAGATATGCATTCCAATGTTTGTTCCATGATTTAGATTGATTGCCTAAAACATCATCACTGAAATAGTCAATTAGGCTGGTATATATTGGATCACCCTGCGCCAAGTCTCGAATTGGATTGGGCATGCCTTGAGGATATCCCTTTGTGGTAGCATACTCTGCAATCCATTAGTACATGTAAAGCTCATATCACACAACCAAGTGCTTGATATACCATCCCATAAGTCAGGAACCAGTCCTTTTGCACGTAGATCAAATAGATTAAGCTGCAACTCTGTTGCAGCAATAAGGATGATGGTAGAGTCATCAACACAAGCAAGCTTCGACTGCTAGATCATAACTGGTGAGAATTATCACTTGCTTCACACAAATATACGCACCTCAGTGATCTCAATTTTGAAAGCATCTGCATGTACTACTCCACATTTGGTGAACCACCAAACTGGGATCACATACTCTCTGCTGGACAGACGCGCCAGTTCTTGAACATAAAAGTGGCGACCTTGCCCCGCATCCCACATTGGGCTGAGGGCATTGAGATCCATTTCTGAGTTCCACTTTTTACCATGCCAGACCTCACTGACAATGAAACATTTATCTTTCCATTCCATTTCTTGTACTACTAGCACCCATACTGGCACCTGTCTTAGCGCTCACCCGCAGGTTGAACATTATGTAGCTTACATAATGGGGTCCATGCGCACTTCGTACCGGGTATTGTACCACTACATTTCTTTCTTTACTAACATGACCACACAGATACAGTGGTCTGTGCGTAGACGGTACTTGTATAAATAGTTGTACCATTAGTCAGTTGAACTCTAAGTTCGACCTAGTTATTCATTCAAGTCTCTGCTCCTCTTCGCTTGGGGTAGTGGTCATTCTCGACTTCCTCACTCGGTCTTCAGGATGACGTACTGTCCATAAGTCCTCGCTCGTCATCTACGAGTCAGGCATCGATATAGGAGTGTAGACCGTTGTATCAGACAATACCGTCAGACCTTTCGGGATACACATGAATGTGAGGTCTAGTGAAAGGATTTCCCCAGTCCTTCAATGAAATATTAGCAAACAGAACTCAAATCTCACTGTGTTCAGTACCTGTGATACAATAGTGCATACATCATTCATATAGAATACATTACCCTGTGGTGATTTGCATGCGAGAGTTGAAACACCAGATTTTGTGCGGAGCTCCTTTTGTACTTGACGCAGCCGGTATAATGAAGGAACTCCACACACATCAACTTCATTTAGTATCCACAGAAATACTCGCATGAGTGAATCTGATACTCGTAAACGAGGAAGGTTGTCCAACATGTCCAACAGAAACATCTGTATGTTCGTTAGACAAAAGGCTGAGAGTAGAAATACTTACTTACCAATTTTGATTCATATGGATACCACTCCTTCTTTCGATCATTGGTGCTACTCCCAGGTTGTTCTTCAGAAAGATTATCATTGCTGGGATCTTCCAATTGTATGTGTGAGTAAAAGTGTGCATCTACAGAATCTAAATTTACATACTTGCACTGGCGAGTAGTTCAGCAAGTATGGCATCTTCTTCCGAGTTCTCAAGTTCACAGGCTTCATTTTCTTGCAAACCAAAGCCTAATTCATGTGCAGTTGCAGTCGGATTCCAAAGACCAAAGATATCGGCCTCTTCTTCGAATCGATTTCGGTTCACATCCTCATCTGAGGTCAATTGGCCAACATCAAAGTCGGCACCATGAACATCATATTCTTTCCACAATGCGGTTTCATCAGCGCTTGTTCTTGATCGAGCGATCATCATTTTGCCTTCAAGTTCTGCATCAGCCTGACTTTGTAGAATGACATAATTGTCTTCTTTTTCCTGGCTTTCCAATACTTGCATGTTTATTCTTTCCGTTTCTTGATGTCTTTGCTCATGAAGGTTTGCCCGATGCTTATGCTGCTCTGACCGCAGATGTTTCTGCAGCAATGTTTTTTTGAACCATTCCTTTGTGTTATCGAGGCTTTGACAGAGCATGTTGAAGCACGCATTCAGGAACGAGCTCGCAAGCTCGGGCGCGCGAGTAACCAGGGGCCGGAGGCCCCTATCGTAGTATATAACGACCCCGCGCGATGTACGTACCGCACGCGATTGTCCCTTACGGGCATTGCTAGCTCGTGGACAAACGCGCTCGCCGCGCCGTCGCACCGGTTGTTCCAACAGAGCAGGCATCGTACTTGAGTAGTATCAGAATGTAGGGCTTCTACAACTGGTGAGTGTCAGTTTATTTCACAAGGTCAGAATGTAGTAATTTAGCTTACAGTCAGGCAACAGGCGGGCGAGCTTAGGCATGATTGTTTTAATGTGATGTGAGTGTGAGCAAAGACATATTTATGTCACCACAACCTTCCGTGGTGGCTTGTTTGTTTATGATCACAATAAGGTATGTCATCATGGTGGCCCCGCAGCATGTGTTTAAGCTGCGACGGCCACACTTGCCTTTTTCTGTTGCAACTCAACACTTTCCTTCATCCCCCCCACACTCAAACATTTACCTGATGTCTGAACAACCTTCCTCTTCTCAGCCTGCTACCTCAGAGGCTGCACATTCTCAACACTCCCAGAGCGCAAATCCTTTCGAGCTTATGGCTGCTGCAATGTCAGGGGAATTACCTCTTCCATCACGCTCAAAGAGGTCTTCCAAAAAGCGTTGCCACACGAATGAAGACGGCAATAGTCATCAATACAATGAGCAAGAAGATGCTAATGAGGTGCGCTCAATCCCAGCTAGATCAGCGCCGATTTCAGTTGGAGCCCGGGGAGCCACACAAGTTAATGAAAATGTCATTGTTATGGCACGTAAATATGGTGCGCACAAAAGATTGAAACCCAACCAGCTTGTCGAGCTCGAACAATTCGTAATGGTGCGAGCAACAATCTTTCTACATGCTACAAATATTCTAACTTGAGTCACTACTCATAGGACTCTCCGGTCGGACGTCAGGTCAAGACATTCACACAGCTTTTGATTGTTGAGGACAAACTCAGTCAAGTCATCGTTACACAGCGCACTTGGGAGCCATCAAAAGACCTCAATGACAACATATACAACATTTCTTGGAGTGTTATTTACTCAAGCAAGCTGCCGGCATACAAGGGGAATATTCCGACAACATATGTATTGGTAAGTCCATATTGTCATGATCTCTGCAAAGTGATTCAATATGAACTCCCAGAACATTGTCCGCCTTCGTGGATATGACTTGCCACCAAATATAGAGCAGAATCCTGCTGCATGGAAGAAGGTTGTAAAGTGCACTCGCACTTGTCTTACAGATGTTCGGTCAAATTCAAAGAAGAAGGTAAGTATTGAATCATAACAATCAACTCATTTCTTACATTTCATACAGTTCAAGTTAAGTATTGCTGCTAAGGATTCGAAGGATCAGTGGACAATATACAAGCTCACAAAGGAGCTCATCGGCAAGAAGAAGGATGTCAAGATTAGTGTCCCACTATGTGCACGGGTTGCGCTCATGGTACGCTGTCATATGCAATTGATAATAGTGAGCCTGTCTAATGTGGCGCAATAGCGTGCCGTCTACGTTATCAATTCATCAGGCACATTCTGGAACAATGTCGACAAAGAGCTTGAGAGCCTACGTGCGAGTGCACGCAATGATCCTGCTCGACTTGTCAAGTGCATATAATAATATCCTTTGGTGCTCTTAATTCTCACTTTGCGTACACCAGAGGCTTTCAGTACTTGCTACAGCTCGATCATCAAACCTACGGTGTCGATGATAACATGATGGACTCCGTAGATGAGGACGTCGGCGAGTGGCAGCAAAGTGTCGATGATATCGTTGGCGGTCTCATCACTCACGACGGACCCCTGCCATTCTCAGATGTTGAGGAGAATGACAACGACAAAGAGAACAGCTCGGACGAATTGGACGACTGAATGTGGCACTGGCTAGACATTACAAAGCTACACCTGTTTCTCTTGTTTGCCTGTATCATACATGGAATAGACTTCACACCGGCTTTCATAATTGAATGAACTACTCTGATTCAAACAGAATATATTGTATAGCAATCAACCAGCTGTCGACGTTGTGATAATTTGTGATATATTACATGTAATCCAGGCTCCCATCAGGTGTCATGATGTATGGTACTTATGTAGCTAACTCCGGAATCTCACATGTACAATGTTAACGACACCACATACCTGCCAGCTCATATACGACACGGCGAGCCCACAACTGTCCTGCAATCAAACTTTCGTGGTGTCAGGTGAATTCGAGCTGGGAATCGGGTGGAAGAGACGGATAGCTACCATATGATACTCTGAATCCATCATGGCGCCATATGCGACCTAATTCAGCCTCCGGCTGAAAAGCGGGGGGCAGCTATAGAGCCGCGCCACTGTGGCCACACGAGCGGCACCAGCTGCTGACCATACGGGCGCCAATTGGCGGTGTAGCTGTGCGGAGTGTCATCAGAAGCGGATTGCATCACATAACACTGGTTGTGTACATGAACACCACGTTCAGGTTGCAAGTGCTGGGGACAGACACCCAGATCCTCGTCGCCACATGTCTATCTTCCGCATTCATGCTTACATAATACTGCACTCAAGACCTTACTCACCTAAAAAATGACCTCGCAATTTGAGTACTTAACGTTGACATTCGAAAAGCCCGATCGATCAATTTACTACACCGCATTGCGCGATTGCTTTCTGGTGGAAATGCTTCAGGTCTACAAGATGTTCTAAGAAGTGGTATAATACATGGTACAGGGAGCCCGTTGGTCGTGTGCTCTTTATCCCTTTCGGTCGTAGGCTTGTCTTCGCAACAGTGTGACACTACTTGAACAGCGACTAGCGCACGAGCATCGTCGAGCACCCATGTTCTTTCATCTCGCAGAGCCAATGAATCCTCAAGGCCTTTTACAATATGCAGCTCGGAAACTCTGAGTCGCGCTCGCTTAACCTCGTGATTGATCGCCATATGATAGAGCTCCGATCGAACCTATAGTTGTTCTTGCTGTTCCCAATATCTCCGCTTTTCGACCGTACCATGTTTCTAGCGGCTGTCATTAACGTCTACCTCTACGTTGCACGCTGGTATGACATATGGACGGGGAGACCGAGCGGCAGGGTAAAAGACTTGCCCTTTGGTCTTGTTCTCAAAATCACCAACGACCCTAGCACCGCGCATGAGGGCCACATCATCAACTTCATCCGAGAACACACATCTATCCCCGTTCCCCATGTCGTGGCTGCGATTGCGTGGTATGACCGAAGATTTGTGCTCATGAAGAGGGTACACGGCGATAACTTGCAGGCAGTATGGCGTCATCTCGATACTGAGCAGCGCGCAAACATCGTCGAACAGCTACGCTCATTCGTCCTCCAGCTTCGGGCTCTAAAATCTTCCCATGGGCCAGCCGTATGCGGTCTGAACGGCGCTGCTACAATAGACAGTCGCGTATCCTCGTACCCGATCGGACCCTTTGCCGACGAAAGCGCATTCAACGACGGTCTCATCGATGCAGCAGAGCCATATCTATGCGAGGAGATCCTTGCAGACGTCCGCTCTCGGATGCGCGACGACCACCAAATTATGTTCACCCACGCCGACCTTGCACCTCGCAATATCCTCGTGCGTGGTGGAACGATTGTGGCTGTGGTAGATTGGGAGGAAGCTGGGTGGTACCCGGAGCATTGGGAGTTCGTCAGGGCCATGTACTTCCCAATGGCGCGTCCACGAGATGAGGCATGGATGCGGGCCATTCGGGATTTCATCCCGGAAGACTATGAGAAAGACTGGCTGGTGGATTGCGAGCTGTCCTCCCGCATGGTAGGCGCGTTTTAAGGTACCATTACCTTTTCAAATCCGTTGTCTGTGTGATGCTCACTGCTTGTGATTCGTAGGTCATGCGAAGATATTGTGCGCGAATCCGTCCTGAAGGGTACAAACCGTCTTCGGGCGCATGCTTTTTATCTGAGATGACATGTTTTCCTTGTATTCAGACATCTGGGACACCAGCTATTATACAGTATTGATCGCGCAGTGGAAAGAAAAACTAAAACCGCGATCGAAGTACGGATGGCATTCCGCTTTGTGCTCGCGGCTGGATACTGTTCCGAAATCTAGATGTAGAATGTGAAGTTCAAATATGAGTTGACTCGCCAGTGACATTCTCAAGGAGCGAGTTCGACAATGACAGGAAACACCCTCGTGCTTGCAGCGTATGCACTCGTGGTGGCTACGCTCACGCGCCGGAGCGAGGGAAGTAGTGTCGATTGGGCGGGGATGCTCGCACAAATCCATCCTTTCTCTGCAAACAGCTTAATCACCTCCATAACCCAGTCGCGGCAGTTCCACTCCGCAGGCCTGTTTGTGGGTGGATTGGTGTAGACAACCTAAGTCATATAAGCATACCCATCTAGTTGTAGTCGAAGTAAGGATATGCACCTCCCGCAACAGCTTCAACTGGCTATGTTTGATGCTACCGATGAAGACGCCACCAAGACACTTGCGCGTGCCGAGCAATGAAACATCTCGGTCGTACAACTGCCATTGTTTTCCCCACTTGTCGTTGAAATTGAGATCGTATACTTGAAAACATGGCAACCTCGACTTGGTGTCGGGCCTGGAGACGGTCTGTATCACAATGGCCCAGTGGAGCTCCTCCTCCTTCCCTACTCCACGACCATCCCGCTCATATTGTAGGACGGCAATCTTGCAGTCCTTGTCAACGCCGAGTGCTTTCAAGATGTTATCCATAGCGGTGGACGTGGGAGGTGAATTGGGGATCCATCGATCGTGGCACTCGTCTGCATTATATACATTGGAGAATTCCGAATCATGTGCTAGCTACAGGCTCCGGGAATCCACATACACGCGTGCCCCTGAAGTAAGCCTGCAGGTCCAGGCGCACAGCACGATCCCGTCGGCCCTCCAGGCTAGTATCCCGGCCCTACGATATTCATGCCAAATTACCCCGCACTCACTGTGTGACCTCGTCTTTCGAATGATGCGACATCCATTCACTGCTGACTTTCGCAGGTTTGTTGGAGTCGGTGTGATTCTACCAGAAGCGCAGAAGGCACGTCGTCGTCGCCACTATTGCTCACGCTGTTGACGAGCAACGAGTTGGGGCTTGCAGAATATGAGCACTTGTTCGTATGCATGAGGCATGCGTATAGCCTCGGGCTTGCCGAAAGAAGTGTGCAGCATTGATCGTAACAAAAAAGAAAAGACGACGGTTTTGGTTAGATGCCCTATCATGAGTGAAAGGAAGGCGACGCACGATGAGTACTGGGACAATGAGCACGCGTCCTCAAACGTCAATGAGTGTGCTGTCTTGCCCACGATCTGTCGGATGTAGGCTTTGTCGACTATGGTTCTTTCTGCCCTGCATTGGACATCGACACCAGCGAGAATTAACTACACGAGTTTCTCAACGTGCTGTAGTACTGGAATTATGACCGCGTCTGCAGTTCACAGTTCAAACGGGCTCCGACATGCTAGTCACAACATATTCGTCGATATTGACAAAACTGCTGAGCGCGAGGGGCATTTCGCACGCGGCCTGCCGTAGACGCCCCCTCTGCTGAACGCAGAGTGAGCCCGAACCGGCGGAAGACTCCGACTCGGGGCACACATGATACACCCGCTATTCCAAGCATCATCAACGACATGAAGGCGGACGAGAACACATTGAAAGCACCTAATTAACAAAAAGATGAAGAAGAGAGGGAAGATGAGGGTTCACCTGCATGTAATGGAACAATAGGTCTCAATTTCTACCGATATCATGTCCGTGCATTGTAGTCTATTTTGGGTAGGCACAATGGGCTACCTTGGGAGTGTGTTGGCCACATGTACTCGCCGCTCCTAGGCAGCTTCTACACTTGAAGCTTGAGGAGTGCATGTGTATGTTCATAGGGAAATGGTGAAGCAAGATAAGCGGATTAACCGTTCAATGCTCCTGCTGTCTGTGAACGTTGAGTTGAAAGCGCGGTTCGATCACGATCGATCGGCGATTTACAATGGAACTCCGATCAAATCTCAAGTACTGTCACGCACTCTGGACTCCGCCTCCACTTTCAGGCTTCCCATGTTTCTCGCAGCAATCCTCAACATATACATCTGGATCCGAGCTTGGTGCATCTACATATTTGGGATATCAGAGGCCCGCATAGTCCTCCTGCCCTTTGGTCTTGTTCTCAAAGTCACCACCCAAAATATCGCGCACGAGGGCCATACAATCGAATTCGTCCGCAAACACACCTCTATCCCTGTCCCATGCGTCTTTGTCGCAGCGGAGTGGTGTGGGCGGAAATACCTGCTTATGAAGAAGGTAGAAGGCGACAACTTGGAGTGGGCATGGCAGCATCTCGATGCCGAGCAGCGCTCAAACATCGTTCTTCAGCTGCGCTCCTTCGTCCTTCAGCTTCGTGCTCTCCGCTCTCCTCATGGACCAGCAGTGTGCGGGCTGAATGGTGTCACTTGCATTGACAGCCGCATATCCTCACAACCTGTCGGTCCATTTCCAAACGAAAGCGCATTCAACGATGGTCTCATCGTCGCCGCGAAGCTACACTTATGTGATGAGATTCTTGCAGACATCCGCTCTCGCATGCGCAACGACCACCGCATCGCTCTTACTCATGGCGACCTCGCGCCACGCAATATCTTCGTGCGCGGAGGCACAGTTGTGGCGGTCATTGACTGGGAGGAGTCTGGATGGTATCCAGAGCACTGGGAGTTTGTCAAAGCTGTATACTTCCCGTTTTACAAACGGGATGAGGCTTGGCTGCAGGCTATACGAGACTTCATCCCGGAAAACTACGAAAAAGACTGGGTTATGGATCGCGAACTATCGGACCGCATGGTTGGCGCGTTCTAAGGTCAGATAACTTTTCAAATTGGTCGTCGTCTGTACAATGCTCATTGGATCTACCCCGTAAGACACGCATGATTTCCATGTATAGGCATCAATCCAGGTTCTCGTGCGTATCAGAGTGTTCGTTCCCTTCGATGGACAATCTTTTGTACAGTTTATGGAGGTCTGATATGCGGATCCTACGTTAGATAAATCATGCAGGAGAAAAGGACCTTCGAGTGGGATCCAGGTGTGCTATTTGTAAGTGATCACAAATTTCATTCGCATGAAACTGCGCGAGGCTCAGAGCATCAGATACATGTCCTGGGAATCGCGGCAGTTCGTGATTTTCATGCCTTACGAGCGTCTCATCATTGCGTGAGCGCAAATCAAGCGAAACCTCTGTCAGTAAGGTCGGCGGCGTGACCGACTCTCGAGTCGCAGTCCACGAGATGTGCTATGGCAGAATTAGCTCGCGGTAACAGGGTGAGGTTTGGAACAGCTGTGGTCAGACACAAGAATATGTACAGAACTACTGGTGTAAGATTTCAAGGGGCCTTTTTCAAATCGATGGTGTCCGGAGTTCTTACAATGCTCTTCGTCGGGATCCGCACCCCATTCTGTCGATTCCATTCCTTAATCTTGCTGATATCCTTGCACTTATGTAAGGTGTTGAAGTCAGGGAAGGGACCATCGCTCCCTTTAACCCAGTGGTACGTAATCAACCCAGTGTCGGCAACGCACAATAGTTGATGATGAAGCATGTTGGCGCAATGATCTGAAGAGGAGCTCAATTCAATGCCGCACTTGTGGATGCATAGTAAAGTACCTATGTGAAGTTGATCAGACGCAGGAATCTCTTCTTTGGTGCTATCGATCGCACAGTCAACGGCTCTGCGCAACCTGTCCTGGAGAGGTAACCGACCATATGAATGGAGAGCATCGTCATCCGGTGAGACTGACTGAGACTCGGAGAGTGCTAACGTACGAGACAGTGCATCTGGTGTATTATTTCCAGCGACGCCAGGTAGCCACCGCCATATTCCTTGGGTAGCTGGACAAGCGATGGCGTTACTTCCTTGTCAAGTTCCGACAAGGTATCACCCGCGATTTGAAGTGGCAGCACTGTTTCACACATTTTCGCTAAGTGACATCGAGCGAAACATTGCAATGGACGAACTCGTGATAATATCGCTCTCCCAATCGGTGTCAAGCTGTGCCTGCAGTCGAGAGGGAAAATGAAAAGTGCCATTGAAGGTGATGTCCATGTATTCTATGGCCTCTATTGCTGGTGCTGTGTTTCGCAGTTAACTTCAATTAGGATTTCAGTGGAAGGGGTACGCACAATATGCTGATACTTGCTGCGCGCAGTGTCGAGAATCGCAACTACGACGTGACATCAGAAGCAGCAGAGTCGACAACCCGAGGAGTATGGCATGTGCCAGCCATGGTAGAATAGAGTGGCCCCTCTGACTTGTGCATAGAGTGTTGTTGCCATAAACCCGATCCTTACCATCGTCAACAGCGTTTAGAGGCTGATAAGCGGCACGCGCCATGACTGGCAAATGAGTCCGGCTGTCTTCGCATTTAAGATGCTGCCTTGCGGTGCCCATTACATAAGGCAATTTCAGCGGTCTGCAGCTGGAGGTCTGCGCTTATCACTCTGTTGGATCGATCAATTTGTTTTTGCTGTCAAGATACAACAAAGAATCGCATCAGAAGACTCTATCAGCTGAGGAGTTGTACGTGATCCATCCCCCGTCGGCTATTGAATATTGATACGCTGAGACGTCGTTGTAGAACAAGCATGCACATAGATACCAAAGGCGTTTCTCTTTGAATGATCAAGTTCACGATCCACGCCTGCTAGTTAGAGAGCACCGTGTGCCTAATCGGGACTCAGGTGCGTGATATACGCGCTAGGTCTCGCATCTCACTGAAAGCATCAGCACAACCCGAGGCTTTCGGAAAGTACTGTAACATATCAGCTGAAGAAATGTACGTGATCCTCCCCGGCAATGAGTGCATGCGAAGATGCTGACAGGGCGTTGTAAAACAAGCATGTGCAAAACCGCTAGAAGGTGTTGCAGCCTGACTTTCATCGCCTCGTCCATCATTGTCAAGAGGGCGAGACAGACGGCAAATCTGTCAAGTTGAGGGACATTTTGAGTCAGCGAATTGTATATTTAAATTGGGGTGAGTCCGCTAGGAGATAGCGCCTGAAAACATTGTATATTGCGGCAACATGACCTTTTGTCACGAGTAGCAGCACAAACCTGACTGCCGAAGCCGGAACTCCTGCCTGTAGTCTGACTGATGGCTTGGGCATATATAATGCTGTGTCGTGCAGATGCCTACCAGCAACCCATCCATCTCAAACCCCAAAGTCCATGATGCAGTTCTTGAAACTTGGCTCTTATCTTGCCGTCATCGGCTTTACTGTCCTCCAAGCTGCAGCCATGCCTGAGCCTACGCCCGGTCTGTCCCTATTGCCCATCGTGATAGTAGGTTTGGACGCTGTCACACACTCCAGCGCCCCACGCTGATGGTCAGTAGAAATCCTTTACCATAGCATCTGGCTGATCCACTGGTGAACAGAAGGGGATTTCTTGCCTGGGGTCACCTTCGACATGACATCATACGCCGGCGGTGAGTAATACTTGTGAGATTGTGCTCTATTCTTAAAACTCTACTCAGAGCGTCGTTGATAAAGAAGTTGTAACTTGGCTGATTTTGTGGTCAATATGCATGATAGTCCAATCAATTGATTACGCTTGCTGCATCTTGTACAATACCCTGTACGTGACAAATGTAGATGGAAGGTTTCGGAGATAATGTAACCAGAAAGACTGTCAGTGAAATATGTACTAGTAAACAATAGGTCAGCTCTGCATGACTATTCATTCCATGATCCCTTATTGGGGTCCGTAAATGGCTGGGGATGCAGGTCCGTGGCTGCCCGAGCTCAATCTGAAAGGCCCTCCTACCATATGGAAGCTATCGAGCTCGCGGTTCAGCGTCACCCATCCTAGGTGCGGACCTCTTCTGGTCTGTGATGGGGCTGGTGTATCGACGCCTATTGCTTGAAGCACACTCTTCATGAGGATCAGGTGAGTTGAGAAACCATTGAATGGCGCACTCAACTGCATCGTATACGCCGCGACTTCCCAGATCATGTGCTACCTTCAGCCTCGAAAATTCACATACACGCGTGTCCTCGCGCCGCAACGATCCCGCAGGGCCGCAGGGGCCAGGCTTGTCTCCGCCGGTTTCCTGCACGCACACCCCGGCTCCGCAGCGTTCATTTCAGGAGCCACTATGGGAAGGTGAGTCGGAGATGTCATCTTTAACGCCTTGTGCACCTCCGACCTTGTGCGAGTGCAACAGTATAGAGGCCGCACCAGTCTGGGAAAGGTTAGGCAGCTATTCTGACACCGTCCAAGATTGTCAAAGCTGCAAGTCGCCCATCAGGACTCGCGGGCGTCGATGTGTTGTGCCGTGGCAGATGCGTTGTGTGTGTTGTGTTTGTTGTGTGCCAGTGGTGCAGGAGAGGTATGTGATTCTGGTGGTGCTCCTCGTCGACGTGGACAATCGTACTTGAGATCACGAGTGTGCTTACCTGTGTCCTGTGTACCGTCAGACGCGTAGAGCTTGATCGTCTCGTTTCCGCTCATCGTAACATTGAGCACGCGCGCGCCCTTCCCCAGAGGGGAAACCTCAATACCGTAGTAACCCTCTCGCCGGCGGCGCCCGCCTTGTGTCAGATCATGATGCTATACATGAGCATTTCGGGCCATGTATTCTCAATCTCGAGGGTCTGTTGGTACTCGAGAGCCTCGGGACCGAAACCGGGTGGTGGAGTGCGGATACAAAGGGTCTGGGTACGAGACAAGGCTTCGGCATCAAATGATCCCGTGTGAATGACGTCGCCCAAGCCAGAGATCATGGCAAGACTCAAATGCGGAGAACAGAGGCACTGAGTTCGCATGCCGTCCGAGTCGCCAGCTAAGTCAGAAGTCAGGGTGGAATTAGTGTATGCTTCTTCCTCTGAGATTGTAGACACAGATGAGTCATTGTCGAGGATTGAGGATCCCGAGAGTTCACCAACAGCTAGATAGCGACAGAATTCGGCCTGTCGGCGCTCTCTCTGAGGAGCAACTCGTGGAGCCTGTTAAGAAACAGAGACTGTGGCGCAGACACAGTCACTACTCCTCGCAGGGTGTTTGAGTGGATTCAAATTGACCGAAGAGATCAGAGTTGTCCTCGAAATTCAGCGACCCGTGGGGTGACCTGCAGCTCTACCGTGTCACAACAGCCGCCGCAAGTGGCGCACGCAGCCACAGTGATGCCGACATGCTGCGAGAGGAGCCACCGAACAAGAGCGAGATCATCACAGCAAGAGATGCGACACCGAAGGACGCAAAAACATTGCACAAAGGAACTTAAGATCGACGTCAAGTCATATTTCACAATTCAGCCATCACAGGCCAAAAGCAGTCCCGTGGTGAACATGATATACAGGGCGTCGATTCGCACAAGCGAACACCAGCCACTAAATCAGCCACAAGCGCCACAGGCTCAGCCACCGGGGCCACCGCGGCATCTCGGACAGCCACAATCTCAGCCACAAAACACGGGCGGCAATCAACTGATGCACTGTCAAAATTCTGACTAAGCTCAAAAGCCCTCACAGGTAACCAAATAACAGGTTATTTGGAAAGCGAAAATAGATAATGTCATCCGATTATGCAATCCGGTCATTTCACCTACCACATCTGTCAAATCAAGGTTGCACACCGGTCCACACAATTAGAAACAGCCCTCCTTCACCATGGATTGTTTCGAACATCTGACCACTGACTTTGGGGCCCAAACAGAGCCTATGAAAAATGCATTCAGCAAGTTATATCATGTTTTCTTCGCTAGCCAGCCTCAGTGCACTTTCAGCTTAATGCACGCTCGAAATGCTCTTGAAGTGGTGATTATGTCATGCAAGCTTCTCGAAGGGTCTGCTAGCATACACTCGAAGCAATAATACATTTATTCTATTTCTCAATGACAACCCGATAAAATGTCAAACCACTGGTGAGGCTACGCATTTGATATCAAGGGTAGCTATGGTGGGCGCCTTACTTAGACTTCTATAAATGGTTCTTAGACCTGACTAATCGGCAACAGTTGCTGGTTCTCAAGTGCATTGGCCCACTGGCGCTCACCCGAGAGGACACCCGAGCGAGATGGGACATTTGGTATGGGATGCAAAGTACTACATGTAGTATTTTTAATATATAGGGGTTATTTAGAGGCTTTAAATAGTCCATCAAGTGTAGTATTTGATGAAGGGGGTGAGCTGTTCTTAAATGTGTGGACAGGAGTGCACTCTACTCATGACAAGATTGTGTGGCAGGTGGGACAGGATCTCTGGCAGCTAGGGACTGGATCACTGACGGGGGCAGACCAAAATGAGTGCCGGGGTGGGCATCAGGGTGGTTTGGCCCAGGCAGGAAGCTTATCTGATTTGACTGATTTGCGATTCCAAATGACATTATTGTCGCAACTTGGGGTCAAGTGACAAGGAACAAACAAACACAGAGGCTGGGGGCGTTCAACTGGATCTCACTGAAGTGATGATGAGCAGCGCTCAAACCTAAGGCTAGGGACAAGTTAATATATTAGTTAGTGAAAGAAAGAATACATGAAGGCTTACTGACCTAGGGACAAGAGGTCGAAACTGAGGTCCCTAGGGCAGCAGAGGCCGGCTTGTATACAGGGGAAGTTTGGGGGAGGCTGTGCACGCTGGTCTGTGCACAGCATGCTGATGCAGCCCCGGGGGCCGGTTGAAACATTTGTCTTTCCGTTCTATTCCTTGTACTACTAGCGCCCATACTGGCGCCTGTCTTAGTGCTCACCCACAGGTTGAACATTATGTAGCTTACATAATGGGGTCCGTGCGCACTTCGTACCCGGTATTGTGCCACTACGTTTCTTTCTTTACTAAACACGTTGATACGACCTACGAAACCCTAACCCCTAACCTGGGTGCGACCTAAAGGGACTAGAGAGACGGATTATAGTCTAGTGAGAGGGGAGTTAGCAGCAAGGTGTCCCGCGGTTCGAGTGAACACGAGAAACGCCTTCGGAAAAGGCTACGAACAATGGGGAAGCTACGAGGTGGCTTCGACACGTCGTCGAAGCTCCTCGGAGGCTGTGGACGGTTAGTGGAGACGATCGAAGCTCGGGAGAGCTCTTCGAAGAATCGTAGAAGAAAGAGACAATTCGATAGGGGGGACTTAGCTAGGACGCGGTTCGCAGTTTCTTCGACAATAGTCGAAGTCGAAGGGTTCGTCGAGACGGTATCGACGAGTAAACACAGTGGACGAGGTTTCGAGGTTACGCAGCGAGGGACGAAGTGACGCAGTTAGAGGCTTAGACGCAGGGCGAACTCGACTTATGAGCTCTGAACTCGAGGGGGGAACCGGATCTTGTGTTTTTAGAGAGAAGTACGACAGTTTTTATACTACACAGGACGCTACGACTATCGAAAGTGGCACACTAGTACAAGGGGCTTTGCATTGTTCCTCAAGAAGCTGCCTCACCGAGGGGCACATACCAAGTCCATCGGTAGAGTGACATCATGCCGAACGCGGAGATGAAGAGAAACATATGGCCTCTTCGGACCGGTAGCCGTCGTCGAAGGCATGCCGCGAGGTTCGATAC